TCAGCCGCCCGTTGGACACGATAGCCTTGCGGTCGGCCAACACGTCCGCCTCGTCCATGAAGTGTGTGCTTAAGATAATCACGCGATCCTTTTTGTACGACTGAAGCAGTGACCAGAGTTGGCGCCGAGAGTAGGGGTCGACACCGCTGGACGGCTCGTCCAGTAGAATCACTTTAGGGTTTCCGATCAACGCTATGGCGACACAGAGTTTACGCTTTTGACCGCCGCTCAACTTCTTGGACGGAGTTTTGCGATCGTCGTAGAGCTGAACTTCGCTGACCAGTCGCTGCACCTCTCGCTCCCGCGCGTGAGAGTCGATGCCTTTGATTTCGGCAAAGAAGTTCAGGTGCTCTTCGGAGTTGAGCTCATCAAATAGGATGTCCTGTTGGAGACAAACGCCAAACATTTGCCGCAACCGATTCATATCGTTCGGATCAGATATGTCAAGACCGTAGATGGAGGCGGTGCCCGACGTGGCCGGTATGTTGCCGACCAACATGTTAATTAGGGTTGACTTTCCGGCCCCGTTGTGGCCCAATAGGCCTGTGATTTGCGATTCGTATACCGAAAACGACAGGCCGTTCACCGCTTTGACACACTTATTGCCAGATCCGTAAACTTTGGACAAATTTTGTATACTTATGGCCGCTTTGCCTCTCATCTCATCCGATATCTCTTCAATGTCTGACGAGTGCTCTTCGTTTCCCACAAACTCTTGGTTTAAGGAACTCCTGTGAAGGCTCGGCTTCGTTGGCGACCAAAACGATTTTGTCAGAAAGAAATATACGGGACGTTTCGGGCCGTACTCTCCGGGGATCACTTGATCCAAATAAATGGCCAAAAGTGTGTACAAAACTGTGTCAACGATTAGCATAACGATCGCCGAACCGACCGAAAAGTTCGGGTCTTCAAAGAGTGTCTTAAAGCTAATGTCTTCATTACGAGTGATCTGAATGTCAGTGATATAAAACATGGTATATATAACAAACATAACGAATGAATTGATTGTTTTAATTACAGCATTGAGTCCAAGAGTGAAACCGACGGGAGATATGAGTGATAATAAATAGTAGACAACGGGAGAGATGTCTAAATAGACAAACAATAAATGCGCGAAACCGGCGATGAATGAGAAGAATGAGACGAAAGAGCCGGCGGCCTATCAATCGGGGAGAAGACAATCGATATTAATAAAAATTATGGTCATTTAATCGCATGTTTACTATAGAAAACACAACATTTAGTGAAAACTGTTTGCATTACTTTCTCTTTCTTGAAGAAGGGAGTGATGAGTGCGGACACACCGATCATCGACACACCAAACAGGAACGTCAGGAGGAATATGATCACCGGATTGGTGGCGAAGATACCGGCGAAGTATATGATGAGTGTGAGGACTAGACTGATGACCAGCACGAGTAGGGCCTGAGTGATGATCCAACCGAACCAATAGGCAGTGATGGTGAGGCCCATCATAAGCATTCCCTCTTTGATTTTGCGCTCCTTTTCCAACACAAGCATAAGTGTTAGCATCGATACGGACGGCACGAACGCCATCGACAGGTATGTCGGCACAAACGACTGCCACATCTTGTCGTCGGTCTTGTACTCCGGTTTCGGGTATATTAATAGCGACGACTTCGGGATCAAATAGTCGGTGTTTGGCGACAATAACTAAGCAAATAAATAGTAAAATATCAATAATTATAAATTCGATTCATGCTTATTATAAAATTAGCATTATTTACATTAATTAAAGCCGTGTCGACCACTGTCTGAAGGAATGTGAAACCACTGGTATAGTACTTCATCTCAGCGCAGGAACTGCTAAATGGATTGGACCGACAATCGCCTACAATAGTTGGGATCAAAGTTCTTGTAATCCTTGCATAAAAAACTAGTTTTAGATCAATTTCTAACCGATATCCCCAAAGTTGTTGGCACTGTTGGGCACAGATATGTATGGCATGCGAATCGTGTAACTAATGTTTGTGGGGTTTTTCGTGTCAAAAATCAACGCCAAACCAATCTTCTGGTGATCTCTTATGTAATGCCTTTCAATCTCATCGGACGACTTGTAAGAGGCGTTGAATACGATTCGTTTCCAATCAGGATATTGAGCTCTCTGTACAAGAAGTCAGATATGATTACCACAACTATCGCCACAAGAATGTGGTCAACATATCACACAAACATACGTTTAGAACAGCGGTAATACTGGACTGAATCCGCAACGACTGATCGTCGCCGACAATAAACCACTGAATATCCCGAAAGTCGGGAAACACTGTATTGTCATTGGAATCGGTGCCCACAAACCAATTGGTTCCGTAGCCCTGTGTCTCGTCGATGGCAGCGCTGGTCTTCGGCTTCCACGGAGCCTTAATCGACACAATAATCACAATCATATAAATGGGAAACATTAGTTCCTGTGGTCGTAGATGAAGTGGAGGAATAAATCAAGAATTTAGACAAATCAATGACAAAAACAGATCGTGTAATCAATGAATACCAATAGAGTTCGGCCACGATTTCGGCGCTTAAGTAACAGATTCCTAACGACCAGAGCCTTCACCTGTTGGCCAAGTGTTGACCGGCGGTCGAAGTTTGCGTCCATTATTGATGAGTGCAATGAGTTATCAATGACCACACGTTGTGTTTATGCGAAAACTTTTAATTAATAAATAAATAAAATGCAAAAACACTATCAGTTATGAATGAGACGGCAATTCATGTCATATTCAATGGAAAAGCGATTTAAATGCCAGAGGAATATAAGCCAAGAATATATTTGAGGCAAAAAACAAATAATATTTATATTGATTCTTGTTATACATGTTATGCTGAGATGAGAGTTGCGATAAAACAGTGCAATTGCGGACCTAATGTCGACAATAAGCGAACCAATTGCACCAACATGATCTTATTGGGTAATAAAACTGAAATGTCATAGACTATAGTCGATGTAACTAATGATAACAACTATAAAGTAATACAATAACTATAAAAGTATAGTAAAAGTATTGTTACAATTATACTGTGTTAGTATTGCTTTCAATTTAGATTATATAATAGCTATTAATACAGTAGAAAAACCTGTTTGCGTACACCTGTATGAAAGTTACCTGAATAGTAAATGAACGAGATACATCAATTGGGTGGATATAGTTTTTATAATATTTATTAGTATTTTGCACAATGTATATCAAAAACAACTTGCATAATTTAGTAGAAATACAAAGTCACAAATAAATTGCTCATAAATGCTACTATTTTTACATTAATGATTGATAGCCTGCTTTCAAATAACAATGTAATTGAGTGAAGAATGTGGACTTTTGATCACATTTTAATTGAGTGTTTATCATAAAAAGCCATTATATTAGATAACGTACACCAATTGATACGATAATACACTTTGGTTAACAAAACTACATGAACTGACTTACAATGCATTTACGTTAAGTGCAACTCTCTGTGCAATCCATTGGGAGTATTGAAAGCACTTATCAATTGATTGTTTAGTGAATTGGCTTTCAATGACATCATCTCTCATATCATAAATCTCTTGAATCCAGTGATCAATAACTATAACCACAGACAACATGATTGACATTTGCATTCAATGGACAACCATTATGAACAACCAACATGCTTTCAAACAGTAATTATTACATCGATGCCAGACTAATATTTTATTTTCATATCAAACTTGAATATATATATATTCAAGTTTGATATGAAAATAAAATATTATTTATCGATATCGAGTTAACACATGGTCAATAAAGTTAATATTTAACATGATAAGTTAATTAAACAACAATGTTCAATATTGACAATTGAGATCATAAATGATAATATCATTACCATCTCTCTATTTGTAATCATAACTGCAATAAAAGTTTGACATTTGATGCCAAGTAAAGAGAGTCTGCAATAAAAGTTTGTTTACAAACACTGGCATCACATTTGAGGGGTTGGTCTGTGTTAGCGCATGTCTGTCTGGATTATGCCGAGTGTGACCCAAATGTGACCCGGGTGTTTTCAAATTGCACATAACCCACCATTGCTAACCATTAAGTTAATGGCATTAACTCAAAGACATGAACTGCGGATCAATTGCGGTGTTAAACAATATATTAGAGTTTTAAATAAAAACACAACAAATCATATTTTAAGTTCAAAATTTAATTTTTCAGTTTTGGAAATTCATTAAAAAATACTAAAATTAAATAAAAACAATTGAAACTCGGATAACATTGTAATATAACAATCAATGAAATACAGCACACAATACCGTAATAATAATTGACATTAAAAATTCATTAAATGTGCTCAAATTGTATTAAAAATCATGACTTGTATATAAAATAATTGATTCATTAAAATATAAACAACTAAAAAAACTAATTTAAATAAAAACAATCAATCAATGAATTAATCGTGCGGTGAGTCTATGTACTGGAGTTGAGCCCAATTGGGACCGGTCTTCACTCTGACGGCCAGTTCTACCGAAAAATTTTTGCGACAATTTTCCATACATTCGGTCATTATGTGGACAAACGGGTCGACAGATGTGTCAATCACTTCGTACATCAACTCGTCGTGCATTTGCAAAATAAATCGGCAATCGATGCCACTCTCGGCCAACAGTCGCGTCCGGAGTGCGGCCATCGCTGTCTTCACGAGATCGGCCGCCGAGCCCTGTATTGTCGAGTTGACGGCCTGTCGCTCAGCCCTCGCCCTCAGCGCTGAGTTACCGCTGAGAATGTGCGGCAAATAACGGCGCCGTCCGCTCAGCGTTTCCACAAAACCCAATTCGCGGCAGTTGTCGATGGTTTGGGAGATAAATCGCTTGACGCCTTCGTAGCGGTTAATAAAAGTCTCCATAAACTCTTTCGCCTCTTCTTCGGTCACTTCCAGGTCTTCGGCCAATGACTGCTCTCCCTTTCCGTATATCATTCCGTAACAGATCTACAAAACAAGACAATAAATGTTATAACTAAACGCCAATCTCTTCAACAGATAACTAATTGTATACTTGTTTCGATTGCTGTCTCTCATCGGCGGTGATGTCGTCCACTGATTTCGACTTCCAAACCGAAGCGATATTCTTGAAGACATCGCCGCCACTGTTGAGCACTTGTGTCAGCCGCCGATCTTTGGAGAGATGGGCCAAAATTCTGAGCTCTAACTGCGAATAGTCGGCCGAAACCAATTGCCAACCGTTTCGGGCGATAAAACACTTTCGCAGACTAAAGTCGACTCTTTGATGGAAACCGTTGTCTTCGACATCGATGTCGTCG